CTGTATATATATATATATAGAGAGAGAGAGAGAGAGATAGATAGATAGATCAACGGGCTATTTCTTTCCCTTTTAGCAAAACCCTAAGTGACTGAGTTGTTTTTTTGCCTGGAATGTAAGTTTGGTTGTGTTTGCAGTATTTTATTTCTTAGTAATAAGTGCCAGAACTAAATTAAAATTTGCTGAATAAATTGGTTGAAAGACTGAACTTTGTATGAATAAGTTCTGGAGGCTCTCTGAGGCCCCTCTCACCAAAAAAACAAAAAATGGTTTAGTTGGCCCCTGCACCAGGATTCATCTTTAAACACAGCTGGAGCCCAGTGAGTCACTGCTTATGCTGCTGGAGCACCATCGTAAACTGTCATGTCTTCCCTCAAGAAAGGAAAACCAGGTTCCAAAAAAGGAAAAGAAGGAAAAGAAAAGGAAAAAAGCAAACTGGGGGATAAGAGCGTTTGAATTTGTTTTTCCAAAAGAAAGGTAAGCACAGCGAACACTGTTTAAGAATGGTTTAGCTAATATCAGCAGTTGTTTAGATCGAAGGCAGTAAGACTGCCAGGACTCAAGCTTGGAGCTTATTTGCATTGTTTGACATAAATCAGTCAGAATCACTGGGTCCAGTTGTTGTGTCAATTATTTGTTTAAAACTATTTAAAAGAGCACAGACTGCGGATGTATAGGGCCCAGAATTTGGTGCCATGGCCCTGGGTGCCAGTGCTGAAATAGACACTTTCTCTGCAGGATCTCTGCCATTGAATCAGGCTTTCACCGAATGAACATGCATGCGCAACATTTGTAAAACAGCCAAAAGCAACATTCTCTCTCTCTAAAATGACCTGTGATGTGCCAAAGTCTCTGGTAATGGGCTAGATTTTCTGATGCCTTTTTTCAGACCATGTGAATTACAGTACGCTCAAAGTTAGAATGGAATTTTTGTAGGGTCGCCCCAACTAAGAATTTTCCTAGTCGATCATCAGTCGTCATTTAGGGCCATTAGTCGACTAGTCGCCTGCATGTTTACAATATTAATGTAATTATTAAATGATATATTTTGGGCGGGGCAACACAATGGTTTGAGTTGAAGGTGTGAGAAAGAATAGTATCAATAACATTGTTAACACTGTGCTACATTACAGAGAAATACAAAACTGTACTAATGAACCTTCATTAATATAGGCCTATATTTTATCTACAAGTGCACGTCACACACTGAGCGAGCTGCCTGTTAATGACGCTGTGGGCTAATGGGCATGTAGCTACTTCCATGTTTCAGATGATACGTCATGTTTGTAGTCGACCAATGAAGATGAGTTTACATATCACCTTGGGTTCGTCCTTCACCTTCTCAAAATGATCCCACACTTTGGATTTCCTGCCTGACATGTTATTAACTAGCCTGTGGAATAACCGCAGGTACCAGCCCTGGAAATTAGGGACCGTACACATGCTGCATCTTGAACCACCAGCAAATCGCGAGGTCGGATGCTGGGCGTTGCTCTTGTGCCTTTTATTGTGCCAGCTTTCAAAAGTTCAGCAGCAGGTTGCGTCTCAGGTTGCTAATCAACGTCAACAAGCATCGTATAGCCTATTTATCTGAAATCCTGAGTGCAGAGCTGATCTTCTTCCAGGAGCTGTTTATAAGTGTGTAGGCCTATCATCTGTGGGGCAGATGTAAAGCTCTGGGTAGCCCTGCACTAACACGACCAACTTTCCGGTTTTCATCAGACTGAATATTTACAGAAGAAGGGAAAGATATCTTTCGGCTGTGATTGGTTTGTAATGTGACTCCTGTCTGACTGCTGAGCGTGGCCACTTCCTGTGTCTGTCCTTCCAAATTAATTTCCCACATGGTCCAGCCATACAAGTTTTAATTTCTTTTGATAAAGTGCAGCTCCTGATAGAGTTCCACGTTTTTGTTTTTTTCTGCGACTAAGCAACCAAAGAAATCTTGCAAGTATTTTAAATATGCATGGCAGTTGTTAAGATTTTGTTAATAATGAAAGTATAGAGCAGGTTGCAAAGGCTCATAAATCCCTGTAATGGCCCACTTAGGTTACAGTACTGTGAATGTTTGTTCTTGCGTTTGAACTACAGGCAAGCAATTTAATTTCAGCACAGGATCATGAGAAATGATGATGAAGAGAGACTGAAAATTTGCCATGTCATACTACTCAGTGCTGCAGTGAGAAAACTGAGTTTTGTCAGATGTTCAAATTAATTTGAGGCCAATTTTGACTAAACTCTGCTCTGGTAACATGATCAAGTGCTTGAAATGAAGAACCACACAGTGACATAATGACATCAATTAACTACCATCAAACTGTTAAAGAATGTACCTGCCAGAATGCAGCTTTCTGTGGGTTCATGACATGTATGCAGTCCTCACAGTAAATCACGGAAGAGAGAAAGGATCAGACGGATCTTCTTTTTAACATGCCCTGCTTGGGGATACT